ATGTTGCTGTTATTCCTGATCTCTCCAGGACCTTTATCATGAAGAGATATTGGATTTTTGTCAAAGGTCTTTTCAGCATCTAGTGAGATGATCATGTGGGTTTTCTTCTTCGGTTGGTGTATATGGTGGATTACATTGATAGATTTTCCAATGCTGAACCAACCCTGCATCCCAGGGATGAAGCCTACTTGATCATGGTGGATAATTTTTCTGATATGTTCTTGGATTTGGTTTGACAGTATTTTATTGAGTATTTTTGTATGTATGTTCATGAGGGATATTGGTCTGTAGTTCTCTTTCTTAGTTGTGTCTTTGTGTGGCTTAGGTACCAAGGTATTGTAGCCTCGTAAAAAAAGTTTGGCGCCAGGTGTTGATGGTGCACACCTTTAATCCCAGCACTTGGGAGGCAGAGGCAGGTGGGTCTCTGTGAGTTTGAGGCCAGCCTGGTCTTCGGAGCAAGAGCCAGGATAGGCTCCAAAGCTACACACAGAAAACCTGTCTCGAAAAACCAAAAAAAAAAAAAAAAAAAAAAAAAAAGAGTTTGACAAGGAACCTTCTGCTTCTATTGTGTGGAACAATCTGAGGAGTATTGGTATTATCTCTTCTTTGAATTTTTGAATTTCTGGTAGAATTCTGCACTGAAGCCATCTGGCCCTGGGCTTTTTTTGGTTGGGAGACTTGATGACTGCTTCTATTTCCTTAGAGTTTATATGTTTGTTTAAGTTGCTTATCCGTTCTTGATTCAATTTTGGTAAGTGATATCTGTCCAGAAAATTGTTCATTTCCTTTAAATTTTCCAATTTTGTGGAGTCCAAGTTTTCAAAGTAGGACCTGAAGATTCTCTGGATTTCCTCAGTGTCTGCTGTTATCTCCCCCCTTTCATTTCTGAAATTGCTTTTTGTTTAGTTTGGATAAATGATTTTCTATCTTGTTGACTTCTGGAAGAACCAACTCTTTGTTACATTGATTCTTTGAATTGTTTTCTTTGTTTCGACTTCATTGATTTCTACCCTCAGTTTGATTACTTCCTGGCTTCTACTCCTCCAGGGTGAATTTTCTTCCGTTTGTTCTAGAGCTTTCAGCTGTGATGTCAACTCTCTGGTGTGACTATTCTCTAGTTTCTTCATGTGAGCACTTAGAGCTATGAACTTTCCTCTTAGTACTGCTTTCAAAGTGTCCCAGAAGTTTGGGTATGTTGTATCTTCATATTCATTGAATTCTAGGAAGTCTTTAATTTCTTTATTTATTTCTTCCTTGACCCAGGAATGGTGCAATTGCGTGTTGTTCAATTGCTATGAGTTGGTTGGTTTTCTGCAATTTTGTGAGGAGGAATTCCACTCCTTAAGGGAAAATATGGATTACATGTAGCTCAGGAACTGAAGAAAAGCTCTGAGTTTGGTAAAAAATCTGTGGGTTCACAGCTTTCTTGGAAAGTTGACCACTCCATGTCTAAGATCTCACCATCTTGGTGTCTTTGTTCTCCAAGTATCCTTAGCTGTATTGGTTGGTTTTCTGATTCTCAGGAAGGTGGTGCTAAGAAGTTCTGGTGGAGTCCTTATGATGGAGTAAAGGGAAGGAAACTATCTCCATGATAGGTAATAGCCTCCAGAAAACCACTCTACTGTGGGTTTATGCCCATTGAGGGGAGTCAAGACAGTCCTGGGAGTGATGGTAGCATGAAGTTTTGTCCCATGTTGATGAATGGGGATTTTACTGTGGCTTGATGTCTTGAGTTGGAACAATACCCAGGCATTGTTCAAGGCTTAAAACCTCAGTAACACCACTTTTGTTACTACCGATTTGTTTTGTGACAGTTGGCAGAGCATTTGACTTTTCTTTTTCAGACACAGACTTGGCAACCAAGTACTTCCTTTTCTACAGGGTTTACTTTCAGGTTGGCTTAGTGAAAAAGGAATTAGCCAATTCCTCTAATGTGGAAAGAGGTTAGGCCAAGGAGGACTTCTTTAGCTTTTCAGCCTTAGGGTTACCTTGTTAACAGACCAGACTATCCCAGCTTCAGGGTCCTGTTTCTCAACGTTTGCATCCACCATACTTGCCATGCCCTCAAATCACCACAGGTGAGATTAGTGAAGCATATTGGAGGGCTTTCCTCTGACCCTAGACATGGCCCACATGAGTAGGAGTCAATTTAGTCTTCTCCTGTTTCAGATTGCTAATCCTGAAGAAAGAGTGAATATACTATAAGAAAATACTGTTATGTTACCTCATTTTCACCTCTGGAACAACTGTGCCCTTCTTAGTTAATCTAAATAATTTAAAAATACTGTTTTCCTATCATTTTAAGCAATTTGTATATTTTTATGTCTTAAATAGTTGCAACTGACAGCACATATCAAGTTCATTCTTAAATGAACCCATATATTGAAAATATAGATAATTACAAATTAATTGGGTTTCTACAAAATGTAGAATCTCATTTCTACAAGTTTTATTTTGATCTTGTTACAAAGAATTGAAGGCTTCATATTTCAATGGGATGAGTCCTCCTATAGACTCAAAACAATTTTGGGGATGGAATTATAATTTTATTGAATTAGGTCAAGATCTGTCAATTCTTAGGACTTTTAATAGTCTGAGGGACTTGTAAAAACCCAACTGTGTCTTTAGAAATCTGTTTTAACTCTTTTCAAGATCAGTGTATGAGAAGCAAGACACTTGGATCCACTCCAAGCCACTCTCAAATGGAGTTGAACTGGGCCTTATTTCTCAAAGCAAAATGAATCAGGATAAGGTCACTCTCAAAACATCAAAGTAAGTACCATCACTCCCAGAATTCATTTATAGGTCTTTCTATTAAAGCACTGATAGTTAGAGGGAAAGATTGTTTTTGCAGGTCACATCAGGATGCTCTTGTCATGTGGGTGTTTGTATCAGGAATAAAGGTCTTGCCAAAAACTGCATACAAACATGACACATCCAAGTGGTAAGAGCAGGGCTGTTTTAAGTGTACCTTCAGCCATTCATTGTACTTTTCCTTCTCACTCCTGGATGGTGTGAATAATCTCTTTGTGATTCCAACCCTCTTCTGCAAACACTTCCCCTTTCATGTGCCCCTCAGTTAGCATTTACAAGACATGAAAAAGTTGTCTGTGCTCAGACATGCCAGGCAGAAAAGCTTCCACTTATGCTGAGTGCACTCTGATTCTTTCTAGGAAAGTAAGGCAAATTTGAGTGTGAAATATCCTTCACGCACTTCTGCTACTTACTCACTTAGATGACAAATTACCTTTACAGTCATGGACTCTACTGAGTAAACTGGTGTAAGAAAAATCATAAATCAAGCCCCAGAATTTAGGATACTTTTCCTCACTACAGTATCTCTGTTTATCTTGTCTATTGAGTTTTTTAAAATTAAATAAACTATCTTTGAGAACTGTCTAGAGTTTGAGTTTTTAAATTGCTATTACATTTTCTACTCTGGTAGTATGTCTTCTATGTCAAGATGTACAGAGAGGTATTGCTACTATTTGGGATACTTACATATACCCTTTAAGGATTGCCTTGACGCTGTTTTCTAGAAGACAATAATGAAATATTTTTAAAAGTGTTCTATAGTAACTTTCTCATCTGCATTTCCACACTTTACATTCCTTATCTTTGAAGTTAATGAAGGGTTTGGCTAAAGTAATGACAATAAAGCCAAAGTCATATCTGAGAGAAAAAAAAATATCAAACTCTTAAGTTTTTAAATTGCACCGACTTGGGTTCTTGATTCATGGTTTGAAAAAGAAAAGTCCTCTATAAGAGCGGGCATTTGATCACTTAGTCACCAATTGGTGGCGCTCTTTGGAAAGGTTGTGTCTAGGTGTAACCTTTGGTTAAGGGAATATGTAACTAGGAATAGATTGAGAGTTTCAAGTCTCACCACACTTCCAGTTTGCTCTCTGTTTCATGCTTGTGATTGAAGCTTTGATCTTTCAGCTTCCCTTTCCTGCTGTCATGCCAACAACTTCCTACCAGGCCTCCCCACTAGGAAGGTATCTTGTTCCTCTGGATCCAACAACCAAAATAAATTCTTTCTTCCCTAAATTGCTTTTGGTCATGGTGTTTTATTACAGCAAAGTAACGAATGCACCTTCTTTAGTAACAGGAATGGAAATGACAGGATTCAAGAGACTCATGATATGGCACTGTGCTATACTGAGTATTTAATTGGAAGCCATTGGAGAAATAAGCAGGGGAAGGAAAGTCTTCATATTACTGCTCTTGTTCAGGACTGTACCAAGCATTGCCTCCATGCACTATGTATTGCCTCCCATGTACTAGGCACTGTCTCCCCTGAACTATGTACTGTCTCCATGTATGATGTACTGCCTCCCCTGTACTATGTAATCCCTCCCATGAACTGTGTCCTGCCTCCTTTGCTTTGTATTCCTTTCTAGCTCACATTGCAGGTTGTGGGACTTGTTCTATAAAAGCATAAGCCATATATATGTATGTATACGTGTACATATTATTTGTACATTTATTACATATGTATATTTTTCAACTTTTAAATTCCCATATGCAGATTCCTCATATATAAGAATAGAATAAGGTGATCAGTGAGCATACATACAAATAAAAATAAGACTGATTTTTTAAAAATGTCTTTGATTAATGCTGACATGAAGTACAAAAAGAAGAGACAGTTTGTACAGTTGTCTCTTCTTTCTTCCTTCTGAGACATTTTTAGACTCTCTGTACTTCTTACAAATAAGACAGAACATGTAAAAGAGACAGCAACTGTAATTTTACACAGGCAGTGTTTAGCCATGGCTGTGGTTACTGTTCCGTTTAGCTATTATGTTATGACAAAAGAACAAGGCAGACTGATCATTGTGTCACCCACAATCATGTCTAAGAGTTGAGAAGTGAATTGGTGATGACTGTGTCATTTAGTTCCAGCATTTAATTTGTGTTCATGGTTTTGCGGAGACATACAACTGTAAAAACGAATGGAAGTGAGTCAGCCACCCTAAGTAGGAAAATACTATTACCTGGAATCTTGAAGCTTTTCTAAGTAAAATAACTGTTCCATGTCCATGTTTCCTGAAAGACATGAAGAGCCCATGTTTGGAAGCATAAGAGATAAAGAAGTAGTGAACTGAAAAATATTGTTATAATGCAATATTATATGATACATATTTAGTTTGGGAATAATAATTGGCATTAAAATTTTCTCCATTACTTGAGTGAAGAATATTAAAAGGCATGCAGGGGAACAGAGTATTTAGCAACACTCTAAATTAATTGTGAATAAAACTCCACATGTTTGAAAACTTCTATTGATAGAAGTTCTGAAACTTTTGGAAAAGAAAAAAAAAGCATTTTTTTCAGCTTAAATGGGTTTTCTTTCTCTATACTGTAGCCTAATTAACAGCTTAACAACTTGAGGCTGTGTGATTAAAATAAAAAAAATGTGAGTTCAGGGACTGGAGAATGACTTTTCCAAAGGAGGCCAGTTATGTCCTCAGCACTCACTGTCAGTGGCTCACAACTACCTGCAATTTCAGCTTCAGGGAATCTGATGGCATTTTCAAGACTCTGTAGGAATTTACATGTTTATGGCACACAGAAACTCATCCAGGAAGGCCTGCATACCCATAACTTTACAAATCTTAATTAAAAAAAGAATGAAATGTGAATTTTTATCCAAAACATGAATACAGAATGAAAGGAAATGAGCCCCTGGGTTAAAAGCCTCCTCGGTACAATTAGTCAAATACAGGGATGATATGGAAAAAGATTGTGTGTTATTGCTGGATTGAGATATGAATCATCATATAAAAATAAACTAAGTGAGAATAGAATTCACAAAATTTTTAAATCATCATTCACTGAGTAGTAATGGGAGCTACCACACCAATAACACAAGTATTGGGATAGTCAAAGACAATAAAAAGTCACCTGTCCCCATGAGAATTGTCTTTCTAATCTGAAACAGAAATCTCTAGTGTAATGTTCTCTCTCTCTCTCTCTCTCTCTCTCTCTCTCTCTCTCTCTCTCACACACACACACACACACACACACACACACCACAAATAGGAAAGAGAGAGACACAGAGTATGAGCAAACTATTGGGTGCCTTCAGAATTCACATTCAAATGTCTTCCACTTTAAGTGAATAAATAAGCAAATAATTCCTTGAACACGAGATGTACATAATTAAGTAAAAAGGAGGAGATTCAGTGCAAGCACAATGTACAGATCTGTACCAATGACTATTTAGCCCAACATTTAACCTGTATATCCTCAGCAAAGGCGACGCTGGCACAGGGATCTGAACACTGAGTCAGTAGCTCTGTGTTGCCTGGGCAGGAGACACCTGAACTCTGTTTTATTGAAAGACAACACACATGGTCTCATTTTGGATTTAGATTGCTTATATTCAGTTTCCTCCAAACTTACATAAGGAGAGAATACTGGCCAGTAGCAATAGATAAACACAGCCAAATTATTTCACACCACGCACTGAGTGAGATAAATGACAAGCTGATCATGTTTCCAAAATGCCATAGAAGGGCAAGTCCCATATCTATTATTATCCAATTTCAGCTAAAATTTTTATAACAACACAGTTCCATAGATCATAAAATCTAGAATTTTAGTTTTCCTACAATATAAGTGGACTAAACACTTCAAAATATTGATTATAATCAACAATACATACAGCACTTTTGTGACTCCAGTGACATAAGAAAAAAGTGTCAACAAGGAAGGATGTTGTTTGTTTAAATTCTAGTAGATGGTCACAACATTGTTCAGATAAAGCTCACATAATTGAGTGAATATGGCCATGTATCTTTCTATGTGTTTTGGGGCATTTATGCAATGTGAGGTCAGAAGACATTGCAAATACAAAAGGCCACCTACAATGTAAGCAGAAACACAGACACCACAGGGTGAAGAACAAAGCACAGGATGTCACAATATCACAACCTTCCCTCATGCAGAAGACTTTGGGACCAGTATCAAAAGCACTTTCAAAGACAGATCTTGAATCAATTATTTTCTGTTCAAACCTACCTCTTGAAGATTTCAGGATATTGTCCAACACTTTGCTCACTGTGAAAAGTCTTGTAATAGCTAGGCATTTAATGACATTCCAGATCCAAAATATAATATTAAGCTTTTAAAATATTGTTTTGAAAATTACATACTTAATAAATCTAAAAACTAAATATTTCTTATGTCTCTAAAGGTGTTCAAGAGAGATCTACTCTTCTAATATGTCTCTACATCATTGACATAAAATGTTCTTACAGTCTTCTATAAAAATAATCTTCAAATTAAGGACTAATTTGTTATGAGGGCAGAGAGTATTCTAAAAATATAACTCTGTGTTCATGAAATAAAAATATTGAAATTAGAGTTACTGTAGTGATAAAGCCTCTGTCAAATGTATTTCTCTTCACAAGTCATAAAAGGAATTATTAGCTTAACAATCAATTAAGAGTAAAACTCTATTACTGTTTGCCTCTTCTATTGCGTCTTCATCTTACCATATACAGAGGCATTAAACTCCTACTTGAAATACTTAAAACAGAACCAAGGATGATGAAACCACTGAGCTAGTTTAACTTCATCACCTAGTAGAATGGTGATGGGGAGAAATGAGTGCCTTGCCAGTTTCCATTGTTTTCTCTTGCACTTTATAGTGATTGAGTCCCACAAGGATAAGAAAACCCAGCAGAAGCTCACTGTCCCATCTGCCTATCTGTCACTGTCACTTTTTTTAGCATTTAATTTGGGAAGATTGCAAGTGACCATTTGTCAGGTACAGTGAGAGAGGAAGCAAGCCCTCTTGAGAGTCTGATAGTTAAAGAATCACATCGTCGTGTGGCGTTGGAATAATATATGTTTCAAGGACATGAATTTCTGGTTCTCTCTTTTTGTCCACATGAGTAATGATGGTTTTGTTTCACAGTTCTTTACAGCCAGAGTTTTGGAGTTTATCTAAAGGTATACTGGTATACTTAAAATACTGCCAGTATGGTTGCTTATCTGCTAAACAGCTCTGAGTAATGCATTACTAATTTCAATGTCTACAGATGCATACCATAGCTGATTTGGAGTGATATTTCGTTGCTATTGAATCTTGAACAAAAAGTCATGTTCACAATTAGTTCTCTTCTGTCAGTATACTTTAAATTGAACAAACTGTGGTGCTTGACCATAGCAAATAGAGGTAATAAATTCCCTTTAGTCTGGGGAATTGTTTCCTATTCCCAAATCTACGAAACCACTTGAAACTCTTACTGCAGAAATCTACTTAGAAGCTGAAATCATATAACCCAGAATAAATGCATCTTCTAAAACTGAGTTAACTCTAAGTTTTAGTGGCAAGAATTGATGAATCTTGTCTGTTTAGTTGCTTTTTTTAATTCTGGTGGTAGCTCTATAAAAATAGTGTGTGTCTAACTTGAAATATAAATTATGTTTGTTGTCTTTGAAGGAAAGTTTGACTTCTTTGAAAGATGAATTCCAAAAGAAACTGCTACTTGCACCATCCAACCTTCCTCAAATGTTTCACAGAGTGAGCATAGAAGGTTTATTTTAGAGAGCTTATCCCTTGACAAGACCTTAGGTGGTCAGGAAGGGTTGAATAACTCACATTACAAACTACTAAAGGTATGAAGTGTGGGCATTTTCTACTGTATCACCATAATATACTCACAAACCAATTGTTATAAAGATATTTAATGATGTCCCAAATGCAAATTTGAGGGCTAGATCATTGGAACTCCTTTTAAGAGTGTTGATATCTGAATGACAACCACACACTTCACTCTTGTCATTTAAATATTGAAACCAAAATCTCATATTATGCATGAGTTACTGCACTATGAACTACATGTGTTAGCTACCAGTATCTTAAGACACAAAAGTATTTTAATGTTGTTTTTCAGCCATCAATGCTGTGTTTTGTAGACAAGATAATTTAAATTATTGATCTTTAATATTCTTACATGAGGAACAATAAAAATTATAAATAGAATTTTGCTTAAGAAGAAAATTAAAATCACCAAATCACAAGACTTCATTGAGTTTTTTCCTATGGAGCTCATGGACCCCAGACTGATAGATGGGAATCCAGCATAGGACTGATCCAGACCCCCTGAATGTGTATGTCAGTGAAGAGGCCTCAGCAATCTATGGGGCCTCTGGTAGTGGATCAGTATTTATCTCTAGTACACAAATGAACTTTGGGAGTCCACTCCACATAGAGGGATACTCTCTCAGCCTAGACATATGGGGGAGGGCCTAGGCCCTGCCCCAAATGATAAGACTGACTTTTAAGATCCCCCATGGAGGGCCTCACCTTCCCTGGGGAGCAGAAAGGGATGGGATGAGGGGTTGGGGGGCAGGGGAGGAGGGGTGGGAGAAGGAACTGGGATTGATATGTAAAACAAGCTTGTTTCCAATTTAAATAAAAAGAAAAAAAGAGAAGTTTGCATGCAAATCAATTCTACTTTGAAACTAGCTGGAAATACTGGCCAATCCATAGATGCAGGTCTCAGTCTGCAAGACTATCAACTCAACTTTGGATGCCAATAAGACTCAGATTGTTTTACCAATGCTTCTGATTGGCATGATATAAATTAAAGTTCCATCAGCCCATTTGCCAAGTATGATTAATCTCTCAGAGTGGCCCAATGAACCAAGTGAAACCCTTAGATATACTGGTTTGTGATGAGGGACGTCATAGAGCATATAGAAGACGTGGATGGTTAAAAACCTACGGGAAGGAGTACATAGCTTTCACAGCTTCTGACACAAAACTCTCTAAGAAACCCCAAGCATCGTAAGAGCTAGAAACTCCTTGTGGTTTATGTGTGCTTCACTATGCAGGCATCACTTATTAAATTATTGAACCTTCATCATTAGCTTAACATTTAGCCCCTCTACCTCACTTGAGGGATGGGAGTGAGGCTGAAAGTAGCAACTCTCTAATCCTATTTTGGTCCCTGATGACCGGCCTCAGTCCTGAGTCATGCTGATACTGGCCAACTCATTAGCACCAAAAAAGCATTCATCACTGACACTTC